TTGAGATTTTTGTATCATTGTTTGAGAATAATGCCCCGTCCTACTGAAGCAAAATCAGCTGAGAAACCTGAGCTGTGGACCTTAGATAAATGTTTGTAACTAAGTTCTTATTTTCAGAGTGAAATTAACGACACCCATCATAATTTGGTCATAAGTTTAAGGCATTCCCATGAAAATTATTGAGAAACTGAGCATGTAGGTAAATCTTGATATGTCCCATTTTACTTCCTAAGAGTAAAACAGGTAGGTCTTCTTATATTTACGTCTGACTTTAATATTTGAAGAATGGATGGAAAAGCACATCCTGTTCCCTCCTCACCTCCTCCTCACATCTCCCACCTCATGCCACAGAAATAAGATTGCAATTTTTGAAATACAGGCTAAATAATAATTATACCAAACACTTTAGTTCAGAAATATGATTTTTTTCACATCCAAAATGAGTAGAAAGAAATTGGTTTTAAGGCTCAAACAACAACTTTAGTTGTATGACATAATAGGGAACACTGTGTTGAAGCTTCAACAGGCATGAGCCTGTCTTTATTATAAACCTATCTTGATCTCCATGGGATTCCTGTCTGTCTTGATGGACAGTGAACTCCCCCTGCCCCGTCCCTGCCCTGAATGTATCTCTCTTCCAAACCATGAAAAGAACGGGAAGCATTGACTATAAAATCAGAAATACAAAGAGCTAAAGGCTTGTAGGTTTTGAATTTCTGGTAGCTATTCTTAATTATTCTCATATGTTTTCAACCCTAGTTTTTTAATTATGAATTTTATTTACATTGCTCATTTCTTTTTTAGCAAGAACAATTTTAACAATAAATTAAGGGTTTCAATAAGCTATGGATATGAAAATAAAACTATTTCATGATAAGCTTTAATGAAAATTTTTATTAAACACTTATTTTGTATACACATTGGGTTAAAACAAGTAGAAGGTATAGCTTATCCAAGTTACCTAATATTGTTAATATTTAAACAGCTCTGTATATCTCAGGGAGATTTTCTAAACCTTATCTTACTTGGTTCACTTTCTTGGTCTTCTTATCAACCTGGTTCGCTAGATGTGATTTTTTTTTTATCCCTGTTTTACAGACAGGAAAACTGAACTGTGCGCATCTGCCCCCATTGGAACAATCACCACTTTTTATCTGTTCTATATATTGGGCTTACATGAAAAATTTTGTTTGAACGGAAAGAGCATGGCAGAAAAGGTTTGAAAACCTCTCACCTACACCATGCTATATATAAGTACATAGCTAAATTCTCTTGAGTTTTATCATTTCTATTTTTAGTAGGAAGTAATTTAAATTCATTGAAGACACAAAGTTTCTAAAATGCAGTTAGTTTCTAAAATATTCTTTAGGGCTTCACCATTTTTGAAATACGTTTTCATTGCACACATTTAAATTGTTTTGATTCAACTAAAATTTAAAATGTATTTGTCTTAGCTTTAAAACTTCTAAAACAAATCTTAGGGACATATAAAGTTATCCATGTGTTTAAATGGTGCATAATGAATATTATATCGTGAAAAAATTATGTATGTAGAATGGCAAGCGGGACTTGTCATGGTTTTACAGTTCAAATTATAGGAACTAATTGCTTGAGGACAATACAATAACATTAAGAACTGGTAATTTACAAATTGAGACTTACTGATTGTAAATTAAAAAATGAATTCATAAATGATGTACACATTTGGTTATATTCAGGCATATATGCTTTGTATTAAATTATGTGTAGTAAGACACATCATTACATTTATCCACTAATAGCTATTAAATGACTATGTTCTCTTTTTTTAATACTTAAAAAAATTGGGGGTATATGTTATTATTCATTCATTCATTCATTCATTCATTCATTTAAATAATCTCCACACTCAATGTAGGGCTTGAACTCACAACCTCAAGATCAAGAGTTGCATGCTCTACCAACTGAGCCAGCCAGGTGACCCACCTACGTTCCATTTTTAACTGATGCTAGAGCTTTCTGTATAAGTAGTATAGTAATAGCAGAATATGTTGGGGGTGGGGGATTAGCTGAGAGTCAGCTAACATGGGAGAACGCTAACCCACAATATAATTACTTATGTTTCATTAGGGAAGAATGATTAGGTTTCTCTTTTTTGAATAAGATATCCTTTCTGTAAGCAATGAAACATCTAATCTTGATTGCTTAATATGATTTGAGAATTTTGTTTTAGTGTGCTATCTTGTGTTGACATTTTGAACTTCTCAAATAAAATGTGGGTAAACATGGGAGAAGGGAGGGTCAAAAGTTTACAAAATCTAGTTTGTAAATGTTTATCTCAAAATTAAGTTGATTTACATCTCAAATACTGTCTTGAACTTTCTAGTAAGAATGAGCAATAGATATAGAATTGTTATTTTAAAGATTCACTAGTATTTACTTAGTTTGGTGTTAATATAGCATATAAATTAATCATCATATTACTACCTCTATATTTGCTGTCTAAAAAAAGGGAAGATAAAAATTATAAGAATGTAATGTGTATTTCTCATTTTTTAGTGTGGTAGCGAAATTGCCCTTTTCCCCCCCAAAGTTTTCTAGGGTATCTGATTTCCTTTTTCAAATAGTTGCAACCATATATTCCTCTAAATCAGCCTTATACATTTCAACCAAAAAGATGAAGGAAAGAAAAGAAGTGTCCATAAAGTAATCAAGCCATAGCTTTATCTTTAGGAATGTGTGTTTACTATTTAAAGTAATGGGTCAGGGGCACCTGGGTGGCTCAGATGGTTACGCGTCTGCCTTTGGCTCAGGTCATGGTCTCCAGGTCCTGGGACCCACGTTGGGCTCCTGGCCCAGCGGGAAGTCTGCTTCCCCCCTCCCTCTCCCCCTGTTCATGCTCTCTCTCTCTCTCTGTATCTCTCTGTCTCAAATGAATAAATAAAATCCTTAAAAAAGAAAAAAAAGTAATGGGTCACTTGGCAAGTCCATGTGATTTGGAGATTTGAATATAATCAGGTCTGGGAAGGGGATGAAATGGAAATACAGAAGAAAGCATTGAAATGTTGCCCATTTGTTACCCAAGATAAAAAAAAAAAAGAAAAAAAGTAGGTCAGGGTGAAATTAGTAAAAATTTGAGACAAAATCAGGGTGGCACATGAATATTTAAGATTGGGGACAAAGTGTGTGATAGAGATATGTAAGAATATTCTATTTTTTTTTCAATCTTAGACATTTTTCCTATATTAAAATCTTAAAAATTTATCCATCCAATCTAGTGGAGTGTGAGATATTTTATTTCATTTTAATTTCCGTTGTTTAAAGCAACAACTTGGTATTGTAAAAGATAGTTTCTATTGTTTTAAAACATTTCCTGGAATCTGTTTGTGAATACACATGTACATATGTGTACATACATACATATATACTTGGATGATCACAAAATAAGTGTAATTGATTGCTGAAGTTCAAATGAAAAAATAAAATCAGTTATTACGTGTATACACTAAATAAGCTTTATCCTATTATTCCTTTGGGAATGATGGATTTTATTCACAAAAAATGTATGGTTATTTGATGAGAGTAGTATTAAAAATAAAATACCTTCTGTGTCCCTGTTTACTTCCTCAGTGAACATTGTTGGGTAGCTGGTACATGAATAAATTCTTAGGGCCCTTTATGATTTCCATGGTTTATCTTCTCCGTGGATTCTTTTTGTATACAGGTCCACTAGACATCAATATAGTGTCTGTCACTGTGGTAAATGTACAATAAATGATTGCTATTATTATTTCAGACCATATCATGCTCCCAGAAATTGAACAAAAGAAACAGCCAATGTCCCTGGGGAAAATTGAGGTTGAGACATACATGCACATAGATAAACACAAAAAAATAGAAGATTAAAAATAGGTTAAACACTTAAGAATAAGTAGCAGAAATTGAACAGTCTGCTCTAAGTACAGCTGTCTATATGTAGCAGTGTGTATATAGCTTGAGTCTGGATGAAGGGCTTTCTCCAATTAATTTCCTCTCGTAGGTAGTTTTTCCTGATGTTTCTGAAATGTAATCAAACTGCCCTTCCAAGGTGGACAAAGGGAATGTATCAGTTGATTTTTTCCTAAAATTCTCTTTGGGAAACATCAACCAGAAATATTTGTGATCGGTCATGCTTATGTCCACAAAGCCACCATATGGACCCATTCTGAACATAAAGGATGGACCATAACGGACCATACTTCCCACTGGTTAAGCGCTAGACCAAGTCCTCAGAAATGAGTGAGCATAGGAGCAGTGGCACTAACAAAAGCCTTTTATCTGCTAGGCAGTGGCATCATGGATTGTATCGTGTCAGGCTTCATCAGCTACCTAATGCAATGTAACTCGGGAGATAAGATAAATCAAACAGATGACACTATTATTAGATTTGAAAGATGAGAAGTCTTCCAAAGCAATTGCAGAGTGTATATTTCAGCGCTGTTGACTTAAGGAGGTTATTGAAGTCAAAAGTCTTTGCAACAAAACCAATCTTTCAAGAGCTGGGTAGCAAGTAAGCAGAGTCATGCTTATTCCTTCCAAAGAAAATTACCTAGGAAAAAGTGGAATTCTTCTTTGTATATTTGTTTTACACAGCTGTTGGGTTTTACCTCATTTTTTAGTATATCACCAGCTTAGGTGTCTGCTTTTTTTTTTTTTTTATACATCTCAGGTACAAATGTGTATTAAGTAGGAGAGATGGATTTTCCATCTATTGCTAAAAATTCTAAGTGCAAGTGCCTACAACTATTTGAAATGAATTTCTTATATTTGTGACTCCATATCACTAGATGATTATTTACCAATTGTTACCCAAATTTAGAAATTTAACTTTTGTTAAATAGGGTCCTATGATTCCTTTCTTTTTAACATTCTGAAACTTCGCCATTTTTTTTTTTTTAGATATTTAATGGAATGTCATAAGATTAATTTAGGAATTGGGAAATGGAAAAAACTGTTGTAACTGATTGCCCTTTCTTTTGCAGCCCACTGTGTGTGAGCGAGAGCTGTGTGTGTTTGCTTTTCAAACCCTGGGAGTAATGAACGAAGCTGCTGATGAGATAGCAACCGGAGCTCAGGTAGGAGCACACAGTGCTAATTAGTCCTGATTTTGATTTGAAAAATTTATTGTGATCCACTAGTTACCTTCAGTCTGCCCTTCTTTTGGACACAGTTTCGATAGTTTGACGTTAGATTAAAAAGCAAGCTGGCATTTGATTTTTTTTTTTTTTTTTTTAGCTGGAAACTGAATTTTGCTATCTGTATCTAGTGAGTGTTTTGTCATTTGGCAGTTGCTGAGGGAAGAAATTAAGCCAACTTTCTTGTGTTTGAAAAATAACTGTGATTCTGTCACGGTGAAGTTGAAATATTGAAACCCTTGCACATGCATTATGTAAAATTTATTTGTAAAGTTATAGTGCCATAAAATGGAAGCCAATTTATTTTTAAAACTTAGGTGAAAAGATAAAGGGCAGAACATATAAGGAAAAGCATCCAATTTTGCAAGAGCAGTGTTTATGACATAGGAAGAAAAATATAAAAACAAATGAAACAGCTTGGAAGTAGAGAAGCATTCCATGTTTCTGGAAGGAAAAAAATAAATTTTAAAGATGCCAGAATTTACTTCATGAATTCCATCAAAATTTCAATTGATTTTTTTAATTTATTTATGGAACTTAACTTCCTAATAAATTTATAAGAAAAAAATCAGAGAAAACATAAAAAAAGAATGTTAATTAAGGGAGGCTAGACCAACCATATACAAAAACATATTATGCAATCCTATATTTTAAAAAAAAACGCAGTCCTGGCAAAGAATAGAATGGCAGATAATCCCCCAAAGAGATCTAATTATAAATATATTTAATAGACTTTAAAGGAAGTATCATGTCACATTGTAAAATTAAAATGATTTTTACTAAGTGAGGTGGGAAGAAATGACCTGCAACATGGGGGAGAAAATCAGCTTAGCCCTTTACACTGTGTGTAAAAGAAATTCCTAATGGCTTAAAGAAGAGTTTCGCCATACATACTTTATGTTTTTTATTTGAAAGAATAGTGAATGTTAAGAGCTAAGTATGAGAAAATTTGTTTTGCCTCAAACATAATTGTATAAAAGCACATAAAACTTGAAAAGAAAAACATGAGGACTATAACAGATTGATAGAGGAAATGAACACACGATTCATGAATACAGTTAGTAAAGAAACATAAGAAAATATTCAGCTTTACTAAAATCAACAGGAAGCTAAATGTAAAGAGAATTACCAATCTGTCACTTACAAAATTTGCAAAGATGGGTTGGGGAAAATGACTATATGACAGACATTCGTTCAACAAGTATCAAATGTCTACAATTAACAGGCATTACTCCAGATGAAAGTATAACAGTTAATATAGAATAGCACAGGCCTCGTGGATTTACATACATCCTGTTAACCTAATCATTTCACTGATTACCTAAATGGAGGTACATCCACTTGAAGAAGTATTAAGGAAAACAGTTATGATATAATGAATTATAAATGAACAGTAATACAAACAGTATAGCGTTGATCATATGTAATGTGGGAAAAAAGATTCCATGGTTAAATTTCAGAAATATGGCTTGATATTGCCCCTACAGCCAACATGCACATATTTGCATATTGAAGGCTCTCCGAATCCCTGAAACTAAGAAAATAAGTAGCCAGTACTTGGAGGGTTTCTCAAATGTATCTGACCATGGTGGATCTTTTTCCTTTCTTTGCCTTTTTTTTTTTTTTTTTTTGAAATGTGAAAGTTTTTCTCATCAATTGGAACTAATACTGCTCAAAAAAAAAAAGATACTTAAATATATGCTGTTTATAGCTATTTGAAGTGCTTGATTCGGCAGCACATATACTAAAATATAGCTATGTAAAAATGATTAAGCTTTACACAGCTGTGTGTATGTTTGTAAATATACATACATGTATACATACATGAATAGGTGTGTGGGTATATATGTATTATGTATATTTTATATATATTATATATTCTGTATATCTTATCATATATATATATAAAATTTTTCAAGTGGTAAAGTTAACATTTGTGCATTTTAGTGGATGTAAATTGTCCCTCAGACGATGTGAAAAGGGAAGGAGTTAGAGCCTGGAACTAAGAAATAATTAGAAGGAAAATGAACATCATGCTAACAGTAGGCTAGATTGACAGAATATTAGGTGCTTTTCCCCCCCTCTTATTATAGATACCTCTCGAAAAATAATGGTTGTTAAAGAGAAGTTAATTTTGGATTTTATAATGATAGTTACAAAACACAATTACTCGATCATATCAATTTAGTGATTCTACTCTGAAGCAGAATATTCTTTTCACTACTTTAAAGCAAGTACACAGTATTCTGGTTATAATTCTAAAGATTATGTGGAAACTGATTCTCTTTCTAGACATAAAGAAACTATATCTCGGTAGTCCTGGTGCATCTGTTGACTCCTGCATTTTAAGTGGTTCTCTGAGGTTGCAAGAACCTTCCTTAGAGGGACACTGCAGGAGGCTGGACTGGGACGAGAGTGTCTCAGCAGCTAGGATTCCAAGGCCCCATATACTGTTTCAACCAAAACAGCTCCATTTTATTTCTTTGTGTTGAGCTTTCATATAAGATTTTATTTATTTATTTTATTTTTATTTTTATTTTTTTTATTATTATGTTAATGTTAATCACCATACATTACATCATTAGTTTTTGATGTAGTGTTCCATGATTCATTGTTTGTGCATAACACCCAGTGCTCCATGCGGAACGTTCCCTCTTTAATACCCATCACCAGGCTAACCCATCGCCCCACCCCCTCCCCTCTAGAACGCTCAGTTTGTTAGTTTCTCAGAGTCCACAGTCTCTCATCGTTCGTCTCCCCCTCCGATGATTTCTCCCCCTTTGTTCTTCCCTTCCTGCTATCTTCTTCTTCTTCTTTTTTTTTTTTAACATATAATGTATTATTTGTTTCAGAGGTACAGGTCTGTGATTCAACAGTCTTACACAATTCACAGCACTCATAAGATTTTATTTAGAAAAAAAAAGAATCAATATTGAAATGTTTGAAAGCCATTGATCTTCAATTTTAAATTCACCTATTTTCCAGAATACATTATATATCTGTGGGCCACTCCTGCACTTGCCCCTCTTACTCACCTGGACTTGAATTTTCTCATTTGCAAGTGCTCCAAGGTCTTCCTTACCTGCAGGGGAGGGTTGAGAGTCTTGCTCTAGCAGATGGGTTGTATAGAATGGCCTTTGGAAGCATGTGATTCTATAAACCCACTGACCTTTCTTCGCTCATCAGATGGCCTAATTCCCATTGTTTGAATGCTGTATTTCTCTATCCTAAGTATCTTAGCCTCCAGATTGCCTCTTCAATTATATTTTTCAGTGTAAGAAGAAAGATGTCTGGAACTTGCTGACTATAGCACTCACCATTATGTGCTAAGATCCCATTAAGAATCTTTTATTTTGGGGCACCTGGGTGACTCAGTCAGTTAAGCATCAGACTCTTGATCTCAGCTTAGGTCTTGATCTCAGGGTCGTGAGTTCAAGCCCCATGTTGGGCTCTGTTCTGGGCATGGAGCCTACTTAAAAAAAATAAAGGGGGGGGGGCGCCTGGGTGGCTCAGTCGTTAAGCGTCTGCCTTCGGCTCAGGTCATGATCCCAGAGTCCTGGGATCGAGCCCCACATCGTCGGTCCCCTTGCTCAGAGGGAAGTCTGCTTCTCCCTCTCCCACTCCCCCGCTTGTGTTCCCACTCTCGCTCTCTCTCTCTCAGTCAAATAAATAAATAAAATCTTTTTTTTTTTAAGAAAAAGAATCATTTAAAATGCTGGGAGTGGGGAAATACATGATTTGGGGTATAAAAAAGCATAGTCGTTCGTTATGTTTTATTTTTTTAAAGTAGACATTTTACTCCATGGAAAAATTAACGTGCAAATGAATACAAATCCAAACAGTGTTATACAGACCTTTTCTTGTTCAAAAATTCTACCTGCTAACTTCTGTAACAGATAAATCATAAAATTACAGTGGCATAAGATGATACACATTTTTACTTCTTGCTCCCACAAATGTCCAGTTAGAATGCTTGTTGGGCGGCTTTCTGTGTGATGATTGAGTTAACTGGACCCTTTCCACTGTGTGGCTCTGCTGTCTGAGGTACATGGCATACAGCAGAGGCAGAGATAAAAGCGAAGAAGGTGCACCTGTTTCTTCATCAACTCCACCCTTTTCCACTGCCGATCCAATTCCATTGGTTAAAACTAATCACGCAGCCTTACGTAGACAAAAGGGGTGGAAATGTCGCATGCAGAGCAGCTGCCTCCCGTCAATAGCTCTCTACTTGGGAAGCAAGGAGTAGGAGGCTTTGGTGGACAGCATGAGATTTTGCTATGGTAGTTACGCTATTTCTTTTAAGTTGGCTTAGAACATCTATTTAGCAGAAATATTCTAATTGAATTCTCTACCCCCATGTCTGTTATTTCATTATAGTTTACTTGACTCCAATGATGAAATTATTGGCAGAAGAATGCATATAATTTTTGGTAGTTTTGATGCTTCTGGCACAAGGTGTTTAATAAATATTTGATTGAAAGGGATACATTGTTCAGGTTATTACTATTGTATCTATTTGTATCTTTATTCTTGTGATAAAAAACACATAACATAAAATTTACTATCTTAACCATTTTTTAAGCATACAGTTCAGTAGTGTTTAGTATATTCAACTTGTCATGAAACAGATTTCCATAACTTTTTCATCTTGCAGAACTGAAACTCTGTACCCATTAAACAACTCCCCTTATGTAGCCCCCTTCCTCCAGCCCCAGTAATCACCATTCTACTTTCTGTTTCTATGAATTTGACTACTTTAAATACCTCATAGGTGGAATCTTAAAGTATTTGTCTTTTTGTGGTTTATTTTATACCGGTTTATTTCAGTTAGCATAATGTCCTCAAGGTTCATCGATGTTGTAGCATGTGACAGAATTTTCCTTTTTTAGGCTGAATAATTTTTCAGAATTTTCAAAATGTAAAAATACCACACATTTTGTTTATCCATTCAACTGTCAATGGACATTTTGGTTGCCTCCATCTCTTGGCTCTTGTGAATAATGCTGCTGTGAACATGGGTATGCAGATGGGTCTTTAAGACCCTTCTTTGAGTTATTTTGGATATATATCCAGAAGTGGGATTGTCACTTCCAGCAGGATCATATGGAAGTTCTATTATTAACTTCTTGAGGGGCTTCCATAGTGTTTTCTGTAGCAGATGCACCAATTTATAATCCCATCAGCAGTGCACAAAGTCTCCAATTTCTTCATGTGCTCAACACTTGTTAATTTCTGGTTTTGGTTTTTGTTTTTTGGTAGTAGCCCTCCTAATGGTTGCGAGGTGATATCTCATTATGATTTTGATTTGCATTTCTCTGATGATTAATAATGTTGAGCATCTTTTCATGTGCTGTTTGCCATCTGTATGTCTTCTTTAATGAATTGCTTATCTGGGTTTTTTGCCCATTTTTAAATCAAATTATTTGATTTCTTCTTGTTGAGTTGTAGGAACTCTTTATATATTCTGGATATTAACCCACTTTCAGATACCTGATTCACAAATATTTTCTCCCATCCCATGCCATTTCACTTTATTGATTGTGTCCTTTGATGCACCAAAGTTTTTAAGTTTGATGTAGTCCCATTTGTCTATTTTTGCTTTTATTGTTTATGCTTTGTTGTCAAGCCAAGAAATCATTGCCAAGTCCAATGTCATGAAGCTTTTCCCTCATGTTTTCTTGTAGGAATTTTATAGTTTAAGGTCTATGTTTAGGTCTTTATTCCATTTTGAGTTAATTTTTGTGTATGGTATAAGATAAAGGTTCAACTTCATTTTTTTTTCATATGGATAGCGAGTTTTCCCACTCTCATTCATAGAAAAAACTATTATTTTCCACTGAGTGGTTTTAGTACCCTTATCAAAGATCATTTGACCCTTTATTAAAGCAAAGGGCATGTACTTTTCTAACACTTCAGTTGCATACTGTGACTTGTAATTCTTAAAAATTTTTATAAGATAGTACCAATTCCCTCCCCACCACCAGAGTTCCAGAAAAGACTGTTTTATTTTGCTGATTATTCTTTTTCAGGAGTTTTTATTTGGATTTTTCTTTTATTGAGAGACCAGAAAATGCCAAAAACAATTTGTGTCTAGGTTAAAGTGCATCTGTCTGAGGTAGAAGGAGTGTAAGTGTGGGTGCAGAAGACAAAAAGGATTTTATTATGTCTTTATTATATCTATTGCTTGGAAACCATACACACACACACACACACACACACACACACACACAAAGGGTGTAGTGTGTTGGAAACATATTAGCTCTTTCAGTTCTGTTTTCTGAGTCTTGGGGGGTGTATGTCTGTGTACTTTGGGAAGGGTTACTTATAGATCATATACCCAATGGCTTGAGTGTTGCTGATTATTTTAGGTCACTGGAAATTCTGGATGCTGTGATTGGGTGGATATGTTTTGTGAGTATACACACAACATAGTGAGCACATGGTCATTAGGTCACAGTGCCCCTCCCATGAACCACAAGAATCAAAAATTGTTTTACTCTTACTCTACATTTTTTAAATGCCTGTCTAAAAGCTTTCTAGAAATATTTTTCTCTATAAAGATTAAGTCCACTGCTTTCCTTATGATGTCCCCTGTCTTCACACTGTTGATGTGTCTGTTCGGGCGCCCTCTCTCCATTTAGACAGTGTCCGTTTTCTCGATTGACTTGCCAGAAGCATATTGTTTTGGGAACTGGAGAAGGGGGGCTTTGCTCCTAACTGTTAAATGGCACTGACTCTTAGTAAATTGTGTTAAGAGGTCACAGAAGAACATAGGAATAAAGCCATCATATTTAGCACACCAAAGGTCACGAATGGCCTGAGGCAGAGAGTAGGAAGAAGTAAGATGATGTCAGGAGCTTTACGGTTCTCGGAACGCATCAGACTCATCTCCTGAATTTGCAGTTTCCATCACCTGGCGTAGTTTCTCCCAGAGCTCTGTCTCACTGTCTGTCTTCACTCTGGTCTCTGTTGAAATATCACCACCTTCCTAGCTGCTCTGAAACAGCACTCCCTATTGCCTTAGTCTCTAACACCTGCTTAATCTTTACAGCATTCAACACTACCAGAAATGTATCTGAGCATATATTTAACTGATTATTTTGTTATGCATCTTCGCCATTAGAATGTAAATTCCATGAAAGAGAGGACCTGTCTTTCTTGTGCATGTCTGCCACAGAACCTAGAGCAATGTGAGAGCATAGAGAGTTCATGACAAAGAGATACTAGGACGTTACTGGAAGCAACACATGTCAGTTATTTCAAGTTAATGGTCAAGTTTGGTCAGCTGTGGTCTGAAGCCATAAAGTTGATAGCAGTTTTGAGATTTTCCTACCTAACTTCCGCAACCACGAGCGGGAGGAGCAATGGCAAAGCACGCACAGAATCGCAAAGGATGCTAACTGTCTTATGTATGTGTTTCAAGGTGGTAGATCTACTAGTATCCATGTGTAGGTCTGCACTGGAATCTCCTAGAAAAGTTGTCATTTTCGAGCCATATCCTTCTGTGGTGGATCCTAACGATCCTCAGATGCTGGCCTTCAACCCCAGGGTGAGTACTTCTCCTCATACGCCCCTCCCGCCCCCTGTAACAGCCGCTGAGATTTTAGAGCTGCCAGCTTCCCTCTTTCTGTCTAACTCACTCCCTCATCAGGCCCATCCCTGACCCGTTGTGGACTCTATCCATTTAGTAAATACCGTTCTTTTTCCACAAACTCTATTACTGCCTCCTTCAGTCTTTCCCATATCCTATTATTTCCCCTGTCCTTTCATCTTTTAAAATCACTTTCAGAACTTCATCTTTATGAAACTAGACCCATTTCATCCTCTCAAATTGCGATCTTTACACATCCCATCTGCATGAAAGGCAGATAAATAGCAGTAGCAAACTGGGTGGTAATGGTTTATATGATTAATTTCATTATATAGTTTTGAGAGTCTAGCTTAATGTAACCTCATGGTAATTTTAAGGGTTGTGGGTAAAAGGACTGATTTTTGCTTTCTTTTGTATTTTTACCTAATCATCCCTTGCCTTTTCCCCAGTTATCTGAAGATTAGTGAAAGTTTAGTCCATATTGTCGATCAACTGGCATTTTTTGAGAAAACAATTTTATGAATATTTGTGGAGATGAGGCAGAATCCTTCTGAAATAGCAAAATTTTCAAATTGCATGAGAGCTAAAATTGCCTTAGTTTCTCTTACTATCCATCTTGAAATCATTTTGTAGAAACAATAGCTATATAAAATGTCCTTGGAAAAGCTTTCCTTCCTTCATAAGTGGCAAGAGTACAGATAGTTAGAGTATACTTAAAGATGAATTATCAGGGGCGCCTGGGTGGCTCAATCGTTAAGCATCTGCCTTCGGCTCAGGTCATGATCCCAGTATCCTGGGATCGAGCCCCGCATCGGGCTCCCTGCTCCGCCGGAAGCCTGCTTCTCCCTCTCCCACTCCCCCTGCTTGTGTTCCCTCTCTCTCTGTGTCTCTCTCTGTCAAATAAATAAGTCAAATCTTAAAAAAAAAAAGATGAATTATCAGTTAAGTGTATGGTGTCATTGATAACACTCACTAGTCATACTCTTTTGGTAACAATCTTTCAATCAAAAGAAAATAAAAGCAAAATGATATTGTAAGACTTAAAGTGGATTTTTGTATTTTAGAAGGATTCTATTCTTACTTTATTCATCATGGCTTAATTTTTTTTGGTGACACAAAGAATCAAGAGCCCAATATCCTTTTTATATTTATAGTTTTCCCCCTATGGACTAAACATGATTTTATGTACTTATATTAGGATTGGCATTGTTTTCTATTTTCTTCCCTCTAACTCAGTTACATATCCTACATCCTAGAATCATCTTATTAAGGCCTTCCCTTTTATGGACACAACCCAGTCACTGCTTTCAAATCGACTCTGATGGGAAATCCACGTACAGGGAAAATATGTTTCTCCAGTAACACGTAGGCTTGCAAAGGCTTATAGTGAATACTATTTTTTTTTTCCGTTCAAACAGAAGAAGAACTATGATCGAGTAATGAAAGCACTGGATAGCATAACTTCTATTAGAGAAATGACACAAGTAAGTGTATCATCTTATGGTCTTGTACAGTTCAGTTTTGCTTGAGTAAAATCATATTTTAAAAATGTCTGAGTACTGGCTATGTAGTGAACTGTAGATTTTTCTATTAGATGGGAGTATAATTAAAATACGTTAAAAATTAAAATTGTGTTGTACTAGGATGTTTTAATTAAATTACATCAGTGTATTGGTGGGCTACCACTTTGACTTTTGGAGGGTAATTGAATGATTATAATCCTAATGATTTCTGCAACAATTGGAGTGTGTGATGGTGTGTCAGAATACCTTAAAGCAAAGGTTAAATCTGGTACCATCTGCCTAGACTGTCCATTTTAATTAATGGTAGTAATTTTAACACACTATTTTAATGTCAAAATAAAAACAAATATTCTATCAAATAGAATCTCAAAACAATTTTGGAGGACACAAGCCTCCCCGAGAGTATGAGTTTATATTTTTAGCCATTTAGGGAGGCTTGGTGAGGTGTTTGATGAGCAAGGATTGTGGCTTATTATGAAAGTCTAACATATCACTGGGCTATAGTCCGGCTCTTAGAAAAGCACATGCTATTGGATTTTTGAGGCCTTTCCACTGCCAAAGATTTGGAGAGAGGCTTAAAACTCATCATGATAAGTAGAAATTAATAATCCATAATTGACAACAACACACATTATGGGTTTGGTTTACATATGTATGGCGGTTTCAAGGCTTGCACTGCCGTAGACACCCTGGAGGCTTATACCGAGTATTACCCGGGGTCATTTCTGTCTTTGGGGAAAGAGTATTGGATTCCTTCAGTCTTAAGGCTTAAGTCAAAGCTTCTCTGTCACTCCTCCCTTCACCCCTGCCATCACGCCTACTGTATTTGAAAATGTGCTCCCAGAGTACATTTTTACATTCCCAAATTTGAGTTTTGAGTCTTTTGACATTTATTCCATGTAGTCAACTATTCATCCACTTGTTCAACAAATAATGTGTGTCAGACAATGTTAAACGAAGAGATCCTTAATTCACAAGTTATATCATTTGCTTAAAAACCATCATCCTTGCTCGTTGTTTTTCTATGCCCATACTCTTCTCTATTACCTGAATTCCTCTTCAAACGAATATTATTATTTGTATAAGGAAAAGAAAACAATGAAATACATTTCCACTTAGGGGGAAAAACGAACCTATTCCAATGGCTTACACAAAGTTAAGTAAATATTTTTTAGTCACCAAAGACTTTGGTGATAATAGGGTATTTATCGTACTATATACCCTAGACCCAGATCATTCTTGGATAAAAAATTCTGACTCTGGTATCAGCCCTCAGCCAAAATTTTCTCCCGTTATTCTGGGTCATGTGTAAGCTATTTTAATAGAAGGCAGTGGAGACGATTGAGTGTCAGCCTAGGAACTCAGAGGCGTGTGTTGTATAATTTGCTCATCAATGATGTGGCCTGTGACTTTGGGCAAGTTGCTTAATTGCTTGATGCTTAGCTTCTTCACTGTCAAGATGGTAAATGGTAACACTGCACCCCCTTCCAGTCTGCACTCCACAGGGATGCTGCCAGGTTTTACTGCGTCAAATCCTTTACACCTCTCCAAATAAATATAACATTATACTGTCCTATTTTCTAGAAGGTACTGCCCTATAGATAGACACAAATTATCACAGACAGATTTCCTTTTGTTCTATGAAAAGGTTAATTGGGTAAATTCCACTAAATACTTTGAAAAGAAGGGCTCTTCTTAATTTGTCCAGTATTCTCTGCACCTAAGTCAGTACCTTCAGATATGACCGTGAGTAGTAGCTCTTACAAGTTTTGCTTTAATGTTAAAAGTTAAAAAGAGTCATCATCAAAAAGAGACAGCACCTGACACCTGTTAAAGGTAGCGAGAGATTTAATTCGAGGACTGCAGCGGGGGAGAGAGACTTGCAGTGTGAGTGAGGTCACCTCCAAGGAAGACAGAAGTGACTGAGGTTTTTAAAGGGAGAGCAGAGAGGGAACAAAAGGGGGCTCTGGAGATGTGGAAATAGGGGGCTGTGGGGAAGCAGGAAATTACAGCAGGGGGATGAGTAGAGAATTACTGGAAGGCTAGCAGTGTGGGTGGGTACAAGGTAGGTACCTTTGTGGTTGGGCAGCATCATGTTTTCTTGAGCAGAGGCTCAGCCAGGGGCCTGGGATCACCTTTAGACAGGGCCTAGTGTGTGGGAGCCAGGCTAAAACTTGATGAAGCCTCTGGAGCAAAATGTTTGGGCAAGCCCATTGAGCCACATGGAAGTTCAGAGTTCATAGCACCTTGTGTGTTGTGGGGGAAATGAGGGTAATTGTTGCTGCGACCATGTCACGGCCACAGAGCTTCGGGTTTAACTAGATTAGACATACCTGTTCAACCTGATTTTCCATTTGCATGAGGGAAAAAGGGAAAAAGGAATTTTTAAGAAAAATCAAGAAGTATAATGACTTTTTTTTCAGGCACCATATCTGGAAATCAAGAAGCAGATGGATAAACAAGACCCCCTTGCTCATCCCCTACTGCAATGGTATAAAATATTAGTTTTCCTCTTAATGAAAACAGCATCATTTCCTACTGCCTGTTTTAAGGGGGAAAAAAATGCCTATTTTACAAGACCTGCATTGCTACAGTTCCGCAAGCCTATGAGGCCCGGTGATTTTACAGAGTCCTTAATGACTCTCACTTTAATTGAAACTTGTATATCACAAGGGGAAGAAAATGCTCTCCTATGCACTACACAGATAGATGATGTATTTGACAGCAGTTTGTCTATAGTTAAAAAAAAAAAATGTGATTAGCTGGATAATATGGTGAAGCCGTTTGGGTTCATTTAATTTTCTAGTTAACTGAGGACTCAGTGACAAAACTCAGTTTCAAACATTTATTGAAAATCTTTCCAAAATGTCATGTATGGTTCACTTCCTTAACAAGAACAGTGTAAATTTGGTGAACTCTGTTTGATGGCTGCAGATGATGCTCTGTTCAGAGTGAGCCTGGTGAGGGGTATAGCTTGAGTCTGGCATAGATCCTAGGAAGGCTGACTGAGAATAGTAAAGCAGGTTGAGAACCCCACTCCTACCACACCTGCTTCAAAGCCTTTGCCTTCTGGTTTCTAACTTGCAAAATGAAAGCAATGGTATCCCTACTCCCCATACCGCTAAGCGTTTTTATGCACGTGTCTCTTTGAAATCACTGAAAACCTAAAAGACTATGGAATTCACCAAGATTATAAATGCAGGATTACAGATGTAAAGGTGATAAGAGATTGGTCTGAATGAGATTTAATCTAGCTACAACCAGGAAGTGTTTAAAAAATTATGGAAAGATGGGCAAAGGAGAAAGAATGATTCTGATTACTTAACTCTCACTTAGGATTTTACAATAAACATTCAGTCTAATAAAACCTTAAAAATTAGATCTTCCTTCTTTGTATCTGTAATGCTCTATTATTAAAATTCTGTTTGAGTAGAATAACACAAGGTTTTCATTGTAATTTTTTACATTCTCACATGAAATCATATTCAAAATGAAGGTAAAAATCTCAAATATCAAATCTCCCCCCCCCCCCGCCCGGGAGTCAACCTGATTGTTAACTTTTAATTATTTGTGATCATTTCCTTTAGCTTGTTCGTCACTCTTCTTTCAAGGAGAAACAAATTTCCCAAAATGTTTCTTTAGAGTTTTCCCTAGTTATTATTTTCTGTTCTGAAAAACATAAAAATAGTTCTTTCAGATACCTGAATGTAATTTTTTTCAATCTCAGTGTCTAAATATGGTTAATAACAGTTTGTGTATATACCACTGTATATATATCAGCACAAACGTCCTCAATATTTAAAAAAAAAAAAAAAAGATCGTCACAGAAACTCATTCTTAATTAGACAATGTAGGGAAGAACCAAGGAAGCAGATGTATGAATCAGCTTTGCATCTAGGGGATCATCCTTTGAAAGTATGCTTGGAAATGTTCATTTTGCCGGTATCTGAGGTTGTAATTATTAAAAATCATTATTTCTTAGGTTTTAAGGAACTACTTCTTTGTTCTCAGATTAAAATATTATCTTTTTCATTCCATAAGCTCTTTAAATTATTTCAGGAACCAAAGCAAAGTGATGTAATTAAGTAAAATGCTTACTCAATTTAGTTAATGTTACAACAAACGTAAGTTCCGATCACTTACCAGCTAAGGGGAAAAAAAACGTAAAATATATTTGGCATATATTTGTGACTGATGGACTATTTTAATTAATTTCAGGGTTATTTCAAGTAATAGGTCACATATTGTGAAACTGCCAGTTAACAGGGTAAGTTGTTTTTTCACATATACATACAGAAATGGGAAGAGTCCTGACTGGTTGGGAGAAGTGACCCCTGTGATTTTTAGGCATCCTCTCCAGGAAATTGAAGTAATCTCAGGTTAGGCCGCACTCTTCAGTTTGAAATTACCGTATGTACACCAGCTCCGAGTTTTCCCAAGAGAGCAAATTCAAATTCAGGCTGCTTCCCTGACCTTTTAAGTTAAGTAGAAGGGTCAGTATGAAATCATTTAGTTATTCCACAAGTGATAGGAAGAATCTGGATATTGACCAGAAAAAGGTAATGTGCTTTTTAGCATTGTCAGTTTCTTGTCGGCACAGCCCTACTTTCCCATAGCGGAGAAGATACTGCCTTATCGGCTTAATACACTTACAAAATAAAGGAAGAAGCTAATGGACTCTGATTTCAGTTCTGATCGAAAACAAAGAAGAGCAGTATCCAAAATCTCAGCTCTCCTGTCTGTGAATCTCTAAACTGCGAGATTTCCTTTATTTTGTACTCCTATATAAGTATATTCCTAAGTGAAAGGGCAGCAATTAGAAAATTTTGTCAAGCAACTAATTCAAAAGATTGTTTTAATTTCTTTCCAAGAACAAAGGGGGAACTGTATTTGAATGTAGGCAATTTACAGTTTTATAAATGTATGCAAATAAAACGTGATGATGATAATTTTTGCAATTTTAAAATCTTGAACTAACTTTTCTTTTCTCCTTAGCCAACTCAGATATTTCCCCAGTTGAATAACGAGTGTATACTTAGGGAATTCAATAATAAAAGCCTTAAAAAGAAACATAATTAAGAAGGCAGATCTGCTTGGACATGATTACAGAATGTATTCCAAAGCTAAATATAAATGACTTTGGATTGTCTGTCTCCTATTCCTTTTCCATTAGCCTAAAGAATTACCCATCATATCAGCAACTCCATATGATTTATCATTTATGCAGGGTTTTTTTTTGTTTTGTTTTGTTTTTAATGTCCTGTTAATGTAAGTTAGTATGGCTTGAATCTCGATTAATTCTTAAACAAGTAAAATTTGAAATTGTTATCAGTCTGATTATATGTTAATTTTGACGTTTTCATTTGTCATTATTTTAAATGGCAGCAACTGAAGTTTATGCATACTCCACATCAATTCCTTCTTCTCAGCAGTCCACCAGCCAAAGAATCTAATTTTAGAGCTGCTAAAAAACTCTTTGGAAGCACCTTTGCATTTCAGTGAGTATGGCTTCATGTTGATGGGGGTATGTCTTCACCTCGATCTTCCAGAAATGTGTGGGGAGGAAAACATTCTTTTAGTAGTTGGCTATTAGTCCTGAACAGTCCACTGCCTGATACTTGATTTGGAAATTCAAGACTTTCAGAAGGTACATGACTGATTATATTGTGGCCACTTTAGAATCGAGATTATTAATGTTTGGTTTTACTTTGTCCTTCCCCTCCTCTGTGCTTTAGTGGCTCACACATTGAAAACTGGCACTCTATCCTGAGGAATGGTCTGGTTGTTGCTTCTAATACTAGACTGCAGGTAAAATTTCTGAATGCTTTAACAAGACCATATATTCTTTAGTGTTAGAGTTCAGTAAGCAATCCTGGTGCTTTTTTATTACGTGAAAAAGGGGAAGCAAGTGGGCTTTAAAAATTACATAGAATTTCTAAAAGGCATAAGTAATGTTCATAAAATAACTGAAGCAGGATTGACCAGTACACCATATAGGGATGAAAAGAAAAAGAAATCGAATTCCCTATGAGAAAACAGTAAAATCACTTTGAACTTCAGTAGAAGAAAATTAATCATGCAGAAAGTAAAACCATACAAGCATTCTGTCTGCTAATTCAACACAAGATTTCTTGAGCACTGCCCCAGTGTGGATACTTTAGGATAAGGAAAGGTAAAGCTAAGAATCAGCAAGAGGGAGATTGGACACCAAAGAGCCATCTGCTACCTGTTTCACGGTCTCCGTGGCAGCACTGGGAGTTAGCAGGGTATCATGTATATAGGGCTCATCTTTATTTATGCCTGTCACCTCCAACACCCCACTTCACTCTCATTCAGCTAATTTTCACCTGACGATGGAAAGAGGTCAGAAAATGAGATGCTCGATCCCGTCACGTGTGCTGGATCTCACACTCCCGATGACAGTTGAGATGATACAGTTAAATGTAAATGTCCATAAACACACACTTACTGAATTAGTATTCAGTTCATACTAAATAGGGTACCGGGGCCCTAGAACATGGAAATAATGAGAGAGAATTTTAATTGTTCTGAGTAGTTTCTTAGACCAGTTGAAGAGTTCCTGCTAATGAAACTTAACCTAAAAGTTTAGAGAAGATAGGAATGGGGTGACAGTGTTGCATAATGAAAATCTAAATAGGCTACTTTGTTGATAGACTAGCACGTGCGTCCTCATCAAAACTGTCGTGTATAATTCAGCCTGTTCTGTTTTCAATATTTTGGAGTCATTAACATAAAAACCTATTATAGTACTTGATAATAAGTGACTGTCTTTGTCATAGGTCGGGTGGAAAACCTTTATCAAGGATTTTTTTCTCTATCGCTTTTCATGTATCAACTCACTGAATGTTAAAGACAAGGATGATAATAGTACTATTTTCACATTAGACTTTAGGAAAGAGCCTTATTGTTTTCTAAGAGTTAATCCTCCCAACATGAGACTGAATCCTTTCTTTTGTAAAATATTAACCTTTGAAACCATTGACTACTTTCTCTCCCACCTGTTCCCCTTTTAGCTCCACGGTGCAATGTATGGGAGTGGAATCTATCTTAGTCCAATGTCAAGCATATCTTTTGGTTACTCAGGTAAGCTCATGTTTCATTTCTAACCTCAAGTGTGTGAGGTTTTGATTTTTTTATTGTATATCAGGTGACTGAAGCTTATTTGATATATTTGCATTTAATTCATTTGATTCATGTCAGAAGTGAAAACAAAGCTCACATGTCAGGATGAATTTATAATACTTACCCTAGTATATAAAGTGGAGTATATGGTTTTTTTCAATTCCAAAACTAATTTACACTTTTTTCAGTAGTTTCTACATTTATTCCCCCCACAAGTAACTATTGCGAATGTAGTATTTGCAAAGCATTCTGTAGAACACTGACTATTCATCTGTAGCAATTCACTATCCTGGGATGTAACTCTGTATCATGCCAACTTCTTATCTTTGGATTATTATATATCATATAAAGACATTTTGAACAGTATGGAGAATTTAGGATTAGAAAAACACCCTCAAAATCAACCTACTTATTGACATCTTCTTGTTTGGTGAAATTGTATGAAAAAATTATTTTGGAAAAAATTGAAAGCATGTGCTGGAGAGGAGCCTGGTAAATTCAAAATATGGAAAGAAAGATCGTGAAATTATTAGCATTCCTTATCCTCAGGTGGTGGAATATGGGGTGATTTCTTTGCACTTTTAAATTTGGGGGAATATGTTACAATGATTGGTGTGATTTTTTTTTTTCTTAGAGCGATAATGTATTTAAACATAAAGTAATTATGTTCACTTTTATAAAGAAATTGAAAAAAAAAGAAGGAAATTGAAACTACATAGAACTATGTAAAGTAACAAGTGAAATTTTTTCTCCTTTCCCCCAACCTCGGTGTTCTCTGTATTTCCCTTCAGACTTGTAAAGTTTTTATATTCATATACCTGCATATATAGTTGGTTTTGCTTGTGTGCTCGTGTGTATGGGCAATTATATAATTATATTACACAGCTTCAGGAGATGTCTTTCAGGTGGTACCTGGTTAGTAAGTCTTAAGATGCTCTATTATAGAAAAGGATACCTTGAGAGGTCTAATCACCAGGTAAATGTTAACCAGGCCCATCTAATCGCTTTGTTCTTTCAACCACAGCAAGTTGTTTCTCAGGGTTCCACCCCAACCTTTTCCAGGACACATGCCCTAAGAGCACCAGGTGGAATTTGTAGGCCTTTTTTGACCCAGCCTCAGAAGTCACATGGTGGCACTTCCCACATATGCTTTGGGTCAGAGCAGTCACAAGCCCTTGCATTTTTGAGGGGTGGGTAATTAGACTCAGCCCCCAAAGGAAAGAGTGGCAAAGTCACATCGTAGAAAAGCCTATGGCTTGAGAAATATTGTTGCAACGATCTTTGAAATACAATATGCCAAAATAACACTAAGAAAATAAACACCAGGGATGCCTGGGTGGCTGAGTTGGTTAAGCATCTGCCTTCGGCTTGGGTCATGATCCCAGGGTCCTGGGATCGAGCCCCGCATTGGGCTCCCTGCTCAGTGGGGGGAGCTTGCTTCTCCCTCTGCCTCTTCCCCCTGCTTGTGCTCTCTCTCTCTCTCTCTGACAAATAAATATATAAAATCTTAAAAAAATAGGAAGAGAAACTCCAGGAAGAATAAGATAATATAGGAAATAGAATAATATAATTCAAAGGAGAAAACAAATTAAAACCAGCATAAATCAGATTCTAAATCTCATTGAAACGTAACGCAATAAAAAACTAAAATAAAACCAGTTTAAGAATATACATCCTCAGCACCAATAAGGAAAAACATACCAAGTCATCAAGTACTGTGAAGTAGCTTCGTAGTTGGCTTTCAGGCTGCAAGGGTACGGGGTGGAGAGCAGCACAGCCTCTCTGAGGATAACAGCCTTTGCCTTCTCCCAGAAGTGCACGTCTGAAACCCTTGGCCTTGTACCTCAGCCTGACCTTCTCCACCTCTGCCCCTTTGGGGGATATGTTTCTGACTTGGAAAGAGTTACATCCACACCATTTGCAATTCATTCATTCTCACCAAGCCTTTATTGAAACAGCAACAACAACAAAAAGTCAACATACTTCTCCATTTCTGGACAGTAGATGGGCATTTCCAAATAAAGTATAGAAAAATATCTATCTATTCTAAAACAGACATGAATCCTAGTTCTGTTTTGTCTAAAATCTGTCACAGTAAAAAGTCATGGCATTAACAGAGTCAGCTCAAACTTGTGAGTATCACAGACAAAAGAACTTGCATAAATGCTCTTTATTAGACGATATAGTAAATTCTACACAGAATTAAATACAGATCAACAACTCATGAATTTAAGTTTCAGTATAAATGTATTTTTCTGACCTTGTTCATGTTTCCTGCTCCTTACCTTCTCTTTCTGCTAACCGGATGGTAAAGATGAAAGTTTAAGCTCTACCAGCCTTTTAAAACCAAGTTTTAAGAATTTTCTGAATCTATCAGTTTTATGCAAAAGAATTTCCTTTTTTTTTTTTTAAAGATTTTATTTATTTATTTATTTATTTGTCAGGGAGAGACAGAGAGATTGAAAGAGAGCACAAGCAGGGGGAGTGGCAGAGGGAGAAGCAGGCCCCCTGCCGGGCAGGGAGCCCAATGCGGGACTCGATCCCAGGATTCTGGGATCATGACCTGAGCTGAAGGCAAATGCTTAACTGACTGAGCCACCCAGGTGTCCCGCAAGAGAATTTCTTATCCCTGTCTTCAGTACAGAGAAAACCAAACTGGCTTGTGTATACTCTGACATCCTCGGGACTTCCCCAAACCCACCGACTTCCCAGGGCACAGCAGCTGCTCCTTCCGGAGCCCACTGTGGCCGTCCGTGGCCCGAGGCAGTGAGGTCTTCACCTCCGGTGGAACTTTGCAGTGCCCATGGATCGTATTTGAGGGGTACCACCCAGCTTTGTCCCTCAATTATGATTTTGCTGGTGTTTTTCAGGGATGAACAAGAAGCAGAAGGTGACAGCCAAAGATGAGCCGGCGTCCAGCAGTAAAAGCAACAGTGCATCACAGGTGTCGTAGTGACTCGAGTGGCTGATGGGATGAGTGGGCTCGGGCTTCCTTAGCCAGCAGGGCTTCAATAAGCACTCAGGCGTTTTAAGTCTGCAGAATTATTTTAAGTGACCATTACTCACAAAGGTGTAAAACTGACCCTAAAATGCAATAATCGAAACACCTTTATTCAGTCAATATTCAGCAAGTCTTTATTAAGCTCCTACTGTAATGTTAGAGATTCCTGGGCAGTGGGTTCTAGTGACAAATCGAAAATAGAACCAAACACAATAGAGAATTCTTTGGGGAGGCTCCATTCTATTGAGTGGCTATGGATAAATGAAATGTATGTTTAGAGGGAAAGAATGCTAGATGGTAGGGAAAAATGGAGAAAAGTCAGGGGAAAGGGCTGTTGAGTACTGTGGGATGGAAGGTGGGACCAGAATGAGCATAGCCTGGGGTGGCCGGGAAAGGATACTCCATCTGAGGTTATTTTGCGGAGACCTATAGGCAGTGAATGCATGAGCCATATGGGAGAAAGAACATTCCAGGCAGAGAAAAGACCAATCACAGATCCCTTGTTGTTTCAGTGGAAACAACCATTTTGGACAAATGAGAAATCTACTTAATGAGTAATGTGATTTTTAAATAACGGGGGGAAAAAAGTATAGCTGACCTAATATCTAAAAACAAAAACAACACTACAGATTTTCTCCATGAGATTTTCTTGTAACCTCTGTAGCTTAGTTAATGGTGCTGTAAAAGTGTGTTGGTTTTGGGTAAGTTAGATGATCTGGGATAACTGATTGTAATGTTTGAAAAGATCATGCAATTTTAATTTTGTTTCCCTTGAAATGAGAATGCCAGCCTTCCAGTAAAAATAAATTTGAGTTCTAATTCTATGATGTGAGGCTGTTAAACTTTAATTGAGCATTTTTAGTTCACTTATCTTGAGAGTGATTTAATAATGGTTATGTACAGAAATTAAATGATACAACAAATATAGCTTGACATTAAAGAATTCAAGGATATTACTGCTAGTCTAGATAGGCCTTTTTTTTTTTGATCTGGAGCTATCTTAGTGGTTATTATTTTTTAATGATGATGAGTTCTTTTCTCACTTGAGCAACTGCCGTATTTTCAACTCTGATTTTTAAATTCTTTTGGAATTTAGTCACAGAAAAAAGGACAGCAGTCCCAATTCCTGCAAAGCCGTAACTTAAAATGCATAGCCTTATGTGAAGGTAAGTTGAAAGTTTTACAAACCTCATAGCGTTAATTCTCTATGTTATCTGTGTTTAAGAATTTTACTATAATTCCAGAATGCTCAACATGGGTTAGTGAAAGCATTATTCCTTGTGACCTTCTCTAAGGGCACAGATGGAAGACAGGTAAAATAGAGATCGTAAAGGTGAAAAACAAAGAATTGGCAAGAATTCAGACAGTGCTGTATTTTATCCCTGGCAGATACCTCAGAATGGTAATTATATTTTTCTGATCAAGTATTGCAAATCTCTTTTGTGAATATGCCACCTTCCTCTTTAAGTTGGTTTTTGAATGTATAATACCATGAAAAATGTGAAAGATGAACCAAGCACTAAGGAGAGAACCCAACAGGTCTTTCTGCTTCTACACCAAAATTATTCCTTTATTCTGAACTTGAAGTACACAAACTGATTGGTGATTTGCAAGATCATATGCTTTTCTTTGTTCTTTCTATATAAAATCTGACCTTGACTAAAAAAGCTGGTGCTAGGAGTTTCAGTAGCCACTGTTAACTGCCTTTTAAGTCTTCAACCCTTAATATTTAATATAGGACACGAAGTTGGTTTTTATCTACATAGTCTCCAAGTCAGGACTATTTGCTTTTGATAATATACAAGTGATTCCCTTCCTGTTGTTACACTGATGGTGTTTAAAACATAAAATTGTCACATGACATTTTATTGTTTTTACTTACACTTTTGATAGCTTATAAGGTTAAACATTTTTCATGTGTTAGTTTGTGCATCTACTTTTTGCTTTTAGATTTCTAAGAGGAGGGATATAATAACTTAGAATAAAGTCGTTCTTTAATTTTATCTTCCACTTACAGTGATCACCTCACCTGACCTGCACAAACATGGAGAGATATGGGTCGTCCCAAATACTGATCATGTCTGCACACGATTTTTTTTTGTGTAAGTGTGAAGATTCAAATTTGTATGTTACTGTCTTCTCCATGAATGAGATAGTAGTGACTACATTATTATTTGGTCACTTTAGCTGCCAATAGGTAACAGACAGGTAGTTTCTCATCATGTGAATGTTTCTGTTTTATTTTAATGAGCTGTAAAAAACAGAATGATATTTAAATGCTGTTAACTTAGAAGAAATGAAGAAAAACATCTGTCTCTTTAACGATTTGTGTGTGCATATATATATACACGCATGTGTAGATAGACATACACATGCAGATAGATGTAACATATATATACATACATGTACACATACACATATATCTTTAGTTATTTATTTATGGATTTAAAAAATATTATAACTAGGAATGAAGAAGACAATGAGAATGTGCTGTCCCTATAAGAGTTTGATGATCTGGGGCACCTGGGTGGGTCAGTCATTAAGCATCTGCCTTTGGCTTAGGTCATGTTCCCAGGGTCCTGGGATCGAGCCCTGCATCGGGCTCCCTGCTCAGTGGGGAGTCTGCTTCTCCCTCTCCCTCTGCCCCCCGCGACCCCCCTCCCGCCAAGTGCACTCTCTCTCCCTCTCAAATAAAATAAAATATTAAAAAAAAAGTTGATGATCTGCATTTCATATAACATAGGCTGGCAGTGCAGGACATATTGATGTGGATTTTTTGACACAGCTGTATCATAAGAGCTGCATGAAAATATAATCGCATTATTTTTCATATCTAAGTAAATAATGTGTGCAGTAGACCTGTCTGATTTTCACCCACCCTTGCTGGACTCCCAACCCTTTCCCTGCCTATTTCTTCCTCATCCATGGTCCTACCCCAGGAAGGACCTCAGGGAAGAATGCAGTATAGTTGTTTTGTACTTTACGTAGTCTTCTAAAGAGAAGATGGAAAAAAAGCACTGGCTTGTTTTATAAGCCATGTCAAAATGACTGCGTCAAGACTGCTTCAACATACAGTGTTTTCTACAGTGTGCTGTGTCTGCAGCATTTGATCCGTTAGCTTATTGGCAAACTGTTCACAACGTAAATTTTTACTAACTGTCTGGTTTTCTTTGGGAGAGTATGAAAACTGTGACTTTCTTATGATACTGATTTACGTATTATGCATTTATGTATCTTCTGTATTTTTGATACATATTAATACATATATTACATATTGTGACACATATACGTATCTGTAGATTTCTTTCTTCATGGCCAGGCAGCCATGAGTATGGTAGACAGAGCCTGCTTTGCTTAGACAGTTTGTGTCCAGGCTCACCAGTTAGGTGACCCTAGCCACGTTGCATGACCTCTCTGAGCTTTATCAGTAGATACAATAAAGCATCATCAGTAGATACAGTAGCACACTGTGTCTACCTTACCAGGCAGAATCCCAACAGGAAACCCGTGGTCCGTGAAAAATATCATCATTTCTATCACCCACAAGTAGATTGCTTAAAAAGGTGTGGTTTATACGGGCACCATGGTCTACTGTAGTAACCTGGATCTAGCAGCACCAGTGGTGTTCTGCATCCTCAGGGCCAAAAAGACAAGGACAAGAAACAGTTACCAGAACCCGGTAGGAGAACCCTTACTATTTCAGCAGCTTTGAAAGGAGCTGGAGCCTTCAGTAGGTCGCCCGACGTGACCTTAATGGGCCTGGACCCAAGGGAAACCGGGACTTTACCCCCCTGCCATTGGTCCTGCTGGGACTCCCCATTGGTCAAACCCTGCCAGAAAGTAGAGGGCAAGTGAGCTTATTGATAGAGTCCGTACAGGTCAGCCTCCTGGGTCAGAATGCAAGGTAGAGAAGGATGCCACGTGGATCTGAAGGTTCCTAGGGAAGCTATCTGCATGCGATTTTAAGATTCTTATGAGGACAAAGTTAGCACAGTGCAGGTCTTCATTGAAAGGCCCTCACTAGGAGTGCCTGGGTGGCTCAGCTGATTGGGTCTGCCTTTAGCTCAGGTCATGATCTCAGGGTCCTGGGATCGAGCCCCGCATCGGGCTCCCTGCTCAGCGGGAAGTCTGCTTCTCCCTCTCCCTCCATGCGCTCATGCTCTCTCTCAAATAAAGAAATAAAAATCTTTAAAAGGGGGGGGCACTCATTAAAATTTCCCCCTCTTCTTTCTTGACCATCATGACTATTATCCATTGTTAGAAGATTGGCCTTCCAAAAGACACATCTAATCACAAAGTTACCTGATTGAGTGACCTTATGATTTAGATGGAAAGTAACTCCAAAATCCTGTCCTTAGCCTGATGTTAATGTTAATTTACTCCTCTTATTATCTTGCTAAAGTTCAAATTTATTAAGCTAAATAAACAACTTTAGGCAGTAGGCATTCTAATGTTATTTCTTTGAAATTTTACATAAATTATATGTCAAATAAATCTGTAGGGATGTATGTGTTGTGTGTGTGTGTCTGGAGAGATAGATTTCTGTATTTATTAGAAGAAAAAAAAAGAGGAAAGACCATCTGAAGAAAAGAGAATAAGATTCTTCCAGTATACTTAAGATACTTTCCAAATAGTGTAAAGAAAAAAAAGCTATTAAGATAATGATTTTCATTTCTTTATAAATACAGATGAGATTTCATCCTTTTTCTCTGCACCCTCAGGAGAGAAGAGACTAAGGAAAATTGATAAGATTCAAACACATCAGAAGGAGAATCCATTCACTAATTAATGTACATTCTAATTACAACCATCAGCTTCTTTATAAAAGATATAATCACAGAGTTCTATGAGTGATGTGCCTCCCCAGTAAGTGGTAACATCTAGGAAAAGATAAATTGATGAGAAAGAAGTGAGTTATCACAAATATACTGTTATCAGACAGAAAATTGTATTTTCTTGTTCTCATTTTGTTCCAATTTTTTTAAATTAACATTACCTAATTGCTTCTGTTAGAAGTTTGGCCTGATGACTAGGATATAAATTACTGTGGCTTCCTTTTTAAATCCATTATTAAGTGAAACTATGAAAAATCAAAATAATTTCCATGTTAATCTGATTTCTAGAATGGTGATAATAAAACAGGTGTTTAATTATCCTAACCCTACTCTTTCCAGCAAGTAAACAACAACACAGAATGAGAAAAGAACTGGGGGGATATTTTAGGGAACAGACTACTGTATCAAAAAAAAATTTGAAAGTAAAATTTAAAGGAAGATATCACTTAGAAAAAAAAGAATAAATTTGAAAACTTTTATTGGATAATTTCAAAATGAATAAACTTAAATTCTAATGCTTCTGGCAAAACATAACAATTCAGATGTTATAAACAGATTCTAGCCAATCTTAGGGATTGTTGAGAAAATTTGGTTTCATTAGTGGCCTTGAGACACATGTAGAAATAAGGCAACAGTTTTTAAAAAGGGCAAGAAGCTGGGCTTAAGCAGGAGGTGCAAAAAGCAAATGGACATATTGTGCTCTAGTCACAGTCAACAAAAATGTTTATTTCACAGCGAATGGGGAGTTTTAGAGCAAGAGAGGAGACTTACTACTGGCTATTTTCCATGAATAGGATTAAATAATAAAATCAAAGAGAAGGTAGTTGATAATTTGGCAAGTTAACAGAGTAGGTGTGTCTTGTGTCATGAGCTACCCCCAGGCTACCCACCCTCCCCACCCCCCGCCATAGTGAAAACTGTTAGAGCTAAGAGTATATGCCTTCTCCTTCAACTCTCTGGGACCAAGGGAAGGCTAAGAACTGCTAGGTTTGCGTATCTTGCTTATTTGATGTTACAACCTACCTGTTTAATGCTTCAGTGTTTCATTGATTTAGAGCAGGCAGGTCTGCAAAATCAGTTGTTTCCATATTTTGTCTATTAGATAAATTTAAGGTATACAGCCCCTCCTATTTTTCAAGACGTACCAGTAAGTTCAGAAACTTAAGAACAGGAAGGACCAAATCAGACAAGTCAGCAGAAAAGAGATATGGGATATTTTCAGGTTCTTGAGTCCAGCAGATCTCAGTGCTAAATAAGTTTCAGGAATTCTTATCCAAAATCTATCTTTTTAAGGTTCAGCTCAAACACCACTTCTTCCAGGAAGCTCCTAATCAAAAATAATCTCTCTTCCTGGTGTTCTGCAGCTTACACTGCAGGACTTTGATTTAAAATTTAGTTTTTTCTTGTATCGGACTTTTCCATGAGGCTGTCAAGTCCGAAAGGGCTGACTCCTGCTTTTGTTTTTCATTTACTATCCTGATGCCCTTCAGCGCCTCCCCTGGTACCGGATGCATGGCTGCTTATCGGTACATTTTTAATGAATGAACAAAGACAAAGCTAAAATGGATAATATTTTGGATTATGTATGGTTTTTATTTTTGGTAAAAGTTTGAAATCTAAAGAGATGGATACAAGAAAAATGTGTAAAATAAGAACTGTATAATGGCCATTCAGTGAAAAGAAAGATAACTTTCATCATGATTTTGCAAAAACAAACAAACAAAAAACAAACCAGTGTTTGAATGGGAACATAGTGAGGAGACAGACAAGTTATTTATGAAGTTGGAAGACAAGCCATTCAGTCATGGCTCAGTGAAGCTGTGTGACATCAAGCTGATACGATCGGAAACTTTGCTTTTTCACCAGCCTATAATAAATCCAGTTTCTCTGTCTGCAACCCAGATCCATTTCCAAGATTTAAACTGCTACATCACTCTCCTGTTTAAAACTCTTCAGGAGCTGCTTGCTTCTTATAAGATAAAGTCCAATCTCCTTTACAAAGGGAGCCAACTCACTCCCCAGCCTTTTGTTCTTCCTTCAGCACCACTGCATTGGAAGGTCAAGGAGATCTAGCCCCCAGCCTCACGACCCCCCGTTTCCATTGCCCACAATTTCTCACCCCCAGATACTACGCTTCATGACCTCAACTATAGGCTATGATCCCCACACTTCCATGCTTTTCTTCTTTCCTTTCTCCAGTAAATCTAGACTCTCTCTTCCTCTCTCCCCTCACACTAATTTATCTGATTCCTACTCCTCTTTTAAAT